TCAATTTATACATGAGGTGATTGGATGGAAGTGGGGTATTTTTAAGTAAAAAAACTAATTTAAAAAGTAACACTACACTGTTTTCTGAAGAAAATGAAATATTTCATGAGTCTCTGTGATAATTTGACTTGGATATTTGCATTCATAAAAAGTGTATGTCAGTCCTGTGATCAGCAGAAAATTTAAATGAAATGGGGGGTAATCCTCTCTGAAGTCATTTTGCAAAAAATTTGGTCGGCTACCCCTATATAACAAGAACATTTTCATGTGTCAGGCATTTCATTCTGCTAGAAAAATTAGCTCTATAGCATGAAAACTCAATTTTAAGGTAGGATTAGGGACCATTTCTTATAATGTAAGTCTATGGAAATATCAATGTGAGTGTCTGACCTACAGTCCCAACTGGCCATAAAATTTGCGGAAAATTAAAAGGGGGATTTTTCTTTCCCTAGACAGAGACAGATTAGAGATAGAGACAATGTGGACTGTACTTTGGGAAAGAGCAGACATGATCATAAGTGTACTCAAGGTCCTGGTGTTCTTACTTCATTTGTTTATTTGGAGAAAAGGTGCCAGGAACGTTACTGGAATAGTGTATTGTATCACAAAAAGCACAGACTGTAATTAAAGTCCATGCAAAATATACTGATAAACAGACACTCATACTAGATAAAGAAATTTATTATGTCTATTGTAAACATAAAAATGAAGATATTAGGCGTTTAAAGTTGATATGATATATTATATCAAGTGTATTATGCAAAATAAAATTCAACCAAGTGCTATGAACAATGCTTTCTGATGCACTCTTTTGGTAAATCCACATGCTTTTAACATAATTCACTATTTATTGGATTCCCATACTCCTCCCACCTGTCACTTACGAGGTCCATGTTGTTGACTGGTCTTGTATCTTACCATTACAGTTTGGGATGCAAAATGGATGTTTTTTATATAGCATTCATTAAAGTTCATAAGGCTTCAATGGACACATCAACAATGAACTTGTTATCTTATTGTATTGAAAATGTGTTGGGCTATGTATGTTTTTCTTTATCATATTTATTTTGTTCGCTGCAATTTAAAAGACTATAGCTGATTTGATTTAAGTTTTTACCATTCTTTTTATTTTTATTTATGCTGGAGGCAGTGTCAACGTAATACAATGTATATGCCTGTCTAATTAAGAGATATCTGGCCTATTTTGCTTGTGTTATAGCGTTTCAATAAAGCATTTATTGTATATATCTTTTAGCGTATATCGTTTGGCATAATTATGGACTGCATATTTCATATGTTTGAGCGTGCATATAATGTTTGTTTATAAATAAAAATTAGCGTGTAACATGCAAAATGTACATTGTGAAAAAATACGTGTAACGTACGCCGAAAAGTCTTTACTCTATGTCAATCCATAGAGAAGTTGCAGCACTTTCAAATCAGTTTGGATGGAAAAAATCAACGCAAAATAGTGATTTTTTGGCAATTTTGAGATGTCCCCTCGTTGCCATGGTAAAATAAAATTTAGCTTTAAATAATCAGCTTTAAAAATATGCTATCATTATTGTACAAAAGTCATTATGAAATTAGGAATTTATTATTATTATATCTAACATATACAAAACAATTAATGCTATACTGTAGTACATGTACATTGGTATTGTAAAACTTCATATTCGTAGGAGATGATGATATTTTTAAGATCTAACCTACATAAAGTCACCATGCTTCTCATATTCGAAAATAAAAACCGTTTAAAGTGAAAAAGAGTCATTTTTCATTGACGCGCCTATATTATAGCGCATCTTTACATTATGTTTGTACAACCCTAATGATGTCACATCAAATATTTGCACGGCCGTGCAAAACCATTTTTATGTAGTGGCAAAATCAGTACGGGTGTTTGATATAATATTATAGTATAAAAAAGTCACAAATTATAATTCACTTTATCTGTGACTTTTTTTTGTGGAACTTGAGTCGCTCTAACACAGAAGAGGTCATACGGCGACTTTCCAGCTTTACTGGTGGAAGAAGACCTGAGGCAAGAAATGGCACCTTATTATAACTTTCCGTAAGCTAGCGGAAAAGCTTCTTCACATGAAAGAATCCAAAGTTCCCTGCGTGATTCGAATCATTAGCGGTGAGAAACAAGTGGTTTGAATCCAACGAACCATTCGGCCACGGACGCCCTCGTCATGCAGTCTTCGTTAAATGCTATATGCTGTTTATTGACCATCATTAACGATGAATGAAAGTATTCTGCAGTCTATCTATATTATGCACTGTGATCCTCTAAAATACATTACCATCTATGTTGGTAAGGAGGTAACGTTTCCGTGTGAATGCACAAGATTTTACCCTTTCTTTTGAAAGAAGCATAACAATACAGTTTCTTGATTGTATTTTGTGTTCCTGCCAAAACTCCACACTCTACAATAAAATGATAAACTGTTGGGTTACTAAATAGGATGTCCAGCTTCTGTGTTTGGTCATAAAGTCGAAGAGTCAAATTAGGATTGTATTGTGTGTACTCCTTCTGTAATTGTATTTTCACAATGATTTTTTTGGTACTTGTTAAATCGGGAGGCGTACCTTTTCCTAGATCAGGAAGAGGAACAGTTGTGAATTTCAAATTGATACTACATGTATCAACACAGTCGTAATAAGTACAATCGGCCATATCTATGTTTCTTTTGGCAAACAATTGAGCAATAGCTAGCCTTTCTACAAGTTGAGCAAATCTTTAATGAACTTGATGAGGCACGACAATAACAACATGTTTCAAGATTTGGCTTATATTGTGAACACTGTTTTTTTGTCTGCCTATCATTGTTATTCATTATATTTCTTGTTGTCAAAAAGGGTGGGATACTGTACACCGTAACTTCATCTTTTATACATGTATTCAATTCACCAAGAAAGGTCTTCGTTTTTTCTGATATAATAGTGTCGATGGGTTTTTCAAAGCAAATGTCTGGTCCATTATGATCACGAATAGTGTTGCCATCAAGTGTCACTGGTGCCGAATAGTTATCACCTATCCTTATTCCACCACATTTGTTTTCGAAAATATCATTATTTGAAATATATAGTGCTGAACGACATTTTGCAACCACTGCCCAAAGCCAGTTGTCAAATATCCTATTTCCGCAGATACTATATGTCCCTCCTTCGAAAGATAGCCCAGACATCCCATTTTGGTATATCATGCTGTCCTGTATGATACATTTTGAACCACCTTTATGGTTTGTTTCTTGAACAAAAATATTTTCTCCAAAATCAATTATTCCGCCACACCAAATTCCTTCATATTCATTACCCCGTATCTGACATTTCCATACTATTCCGTATCCACGGGGACCTATATTTACCCCATGGGTTCTATTACCCTCTATAGTACAGTTAATGACAATAACAGTACCGCCTTCCCTTGCCTCAACACCCATTTGTTTGTTATTACATATATTACTGTTTCTTATCTCTAGAAATGAGTTGTCTTGTATGCATAATATACCACCGCCACCACATCTGTTGAACACGCAATTATCTCAGGAACGCCTTTCCTTGGTTGCTAACTATGACACCAGCATAACCTGCTTCAACGATTAGAGAAAATGACAGTTCAAACTATTTGCAGTCTTCACTATTCCTTTTACATTCAGTTTTATTCTTGTTAACACACCCTGTTTCCTCCATCACAAATTGGAAAATTTTCGCATCCCTTTTTGCCATTACTAAAGCGGCAATTATAACATGCTACATTCGCACCTAGGCTAACGGCTATTGAACCTGAATCAGTCGGAAAAACAAACGTTTTCGAAAATACGTCAATGGTACTTGCACCAATTTGTATCGAATTGAATAAGAGTGCATCTGGATTACTGATCACTAAATTGCTAGCATTGATAATTTCAACATCATTTTCAACACCAATAAGACATACACTTCTTGAAATTGTTGACGTAGCTCCTAAAAGACTGTATTTACCTTTCCGAAGAAGTATTGTTTTCTTAGATGGACAATTTAGCAACATACGAAATTCGTGTACATTATCTACTATATGATACAAAACCAAAGGATACTCTACCTTTATTTCAGCGATGTTTAGGCATTGTTTATTTCCAAATCCAGCTACAGAGGCTGCTGCCTTACCAACAGATAACCAAGACTTGTTTAATATACCGTTTTGTACTAACCCAGCAAGGGCAAGAGCTTTCCAGCAATATGCTTTCCAGAACGTCGGATCTAGCTCAATACAGCTCATTGCATCACGTAATGCATTTTCGTAATTGCCGACTTTTAAGAAGGTTATACTTCTATTTGCAAACAGTTTTGGATTTGAATTTTTAGGTTTTAAACTTATGGCCTTTGAATAATATTGTATGGCATCCTGGAACCTCAGTTCTTTGTAAGCAGTATTACCTTCTTGTCGTAATATTTCTGTGTCCTCTATGGCATTGCTGCTCTGTTCATCATTTGAATCTAATGTTATTCCACACTGTATAATAAGCCTTTCCCTATTTAAAATGGGAATTTTAATTGATGTCAGTGCATGAAAAGAGCGTTCTGATATCTCACTTGATGTTATTATCCGTAACATGTGATTTTGACAGACTAGCGCTTCGTCTTGCCTTTGGTAAAAACTGTGGTAAACTGCACATGTTTGTAAAAGTTTAAGGGATTCGGCATTAAAACAACTATCTAGATTATCTGGGGATTGTGCTGCATATTGATTCATGTATGCCCTTAACGCATTTGCTTGAAGAGCCAACTTACCCCACATATGCAAAGATATTTTGCCGACGTTTTCTTCTTTGACTGCATCATTTGGTGAAGACGCTCCGCTTAAAGCTTTATTAACCATTCTAGTTGCACACTGTAAAATGAAATGCGTCCGTTCTGAGGTCTGAACTTCTTCTCTCATAACTTCCTGAACTAATCGATGCATACTCAATACTTCAGAATTTTTTGAACAGAGGGAAAATCGTGTGAGGATTTCAATAATTTGCTTTTTTCCTAGTGGATTTTCGAGAACCTGTGATAAATTTTTCATCGCATATTTTAGGTGTTCCTGTATTAATGACACAAAAAGGTATATCTTCTGCATATAAATATGCTAATATTTCAACGATGGTGACTGCAGTATTTCCCAATCCTTCATGCTCTGACTGTTTCAAAATGTAATCAAAGTTCAGTTGCCATGTTGTTTGCACCGCTTGTCTTTCCTTTGACAATTCAAAAGGTGGTCTGATTGCTTTAAGCAATTTCAATCTTTGTTCTTTAAATTTATTGAAGTACTCTTTGTAAGTACATGCCAATGCTTTGATATGAGCCGCTGCTTGTTCCAGTGCTAAAGGTAATCCACCGAGTTCATGTACTAAACATATTGCATTTTCATCATTGTTAATTTGAAGACCCGTGCGAGTTGTAATGAAATGTAAACTTTCCTTTTCTGTCAATACGTCCAACGTTATGCAGTCGTCGGCTTGGACATAAAACTCCTCCTCAGCATTAGTGGCCTTCCTTCTTGAAGTGATTATGGTTTGACCATTTGAGTTATGTCTCCATGCACCAAGAACCAATTCTTTGACATTTCCTTTGATTTCTTCCATATCTAAATTATCTATTACAAGCAGCCATCCCTGTTGTAGTCCACGTAGCCAATTTAGCGTTTTACGCATCGATTCGTTTGTATCATTTCCGACATTATCAGTATCAAGAGCTATCTTTTGTATTGAATCTTCCAGAGATTCATTTGTTTCTGCAGACATCCAAAACACACCACCAGGATACAAGGCGTGGGAATTCCAAGCGTATTCAATAGACAATGTTGTCTTTCCTACTCCTCCAAGTCCACATAAAATTTGCATATTGCAGCCGTACTTTTTTTCAAAAAACCTTTCTTGTAATTGTTTCAATTCTTCTTTTCTTCCAACAAAACTAGTAATTCTGTTTGGTGGATAAAAAAATAATTTATCACGAGGCCTATCATTTGATAAATGAACTTTAATAGCCTCAATTTCTTTTTTGCTGCTGGAAACATGGTCATATATATCTTGCATACTTTGTTTTACGTCGTTTATTTCAACATTACAATATCCTAACTTTGCATTAAGATCAGAAACATGGCTCTTTATTCTGCATTTTCTTTTCGCTGTTCAGTTCTTATTTCTGAAACGCATGTCTGAACCTCTTCTAATTCATTTCTACATTTTGATATGCTTGTGGCTGAGCGCTTGCTTTGACATTCGATTTCAGCTATTTCGTCTTTCATATTTTTCATGCTTGAAAGTGTCTCCTTTTTATGCTGCTCATAGTTTGTTTCAACTTGTTTTTTTAAGCTCAAATACTTTTCATCTGCCTTTTCAAAAGCATCTTGTATGTCATTAAGAGCCCTTTGTATGTTTTCGAAAGCATCGTCGTTATGTTGGGTAACAGCTAATACATGTTTACTTATTGTTCTTTTTTTTTTTTCTTTTTTAAAATTTCCCTACGGGTTTTGCCCTGTGGCCCCCGGAAATAGTGGGAAAATGATTCAATTTATTTTAAAATTAAATTTTTAGGGTTTTAAAATCTGAATTAAAGCCGGGTTTAAATTAATTTTTTTATTTAATAATATTTTTTGGGCAAATTAATAAAATTCTTAAGTAAATTTCCGGGTTTTTTTTTGTTTTAAATTTAAAAACCCGTTCTATATAAAAACTTATTTGTTTCCACCATATTGTCTGCCCCTTTTAAGTTCTCCAAGTGCCCAAAAGTTTCTTCCAAATTTCGAAAATCGGGAAAAAATTTTAATAAAACTGATGCATCAGGCCCAAAAAAAGGTTTTTGAAAATTAAGGGAAAAACCCATTTCAGAAAATTTTCTGGCCCAGCAATTTCGGTTTTTAGAAATAAATTTTGCATAAAAAAATATAACATTTTCCCCGTATTTATAATTTATTTTTACCATTTAGGAACGGGCCTCTGTGGAAAAGTGGCTCAGGTCGTCGACTTTTATTTACTTTTACTTCACCCACCTTCGAGTTCGAATCTCGTTAGAGATTTAGATTCTATCATGTAAGTAAGCTATTATGATCAGTGGTACTTCTAAGGTTCCCGCATGTGTCTTAAATAAAGTACACATGGACATGAGGTTTTCATCAACCAATAAAACTAGAAAGTCGCCATATAATCTCCACAGTGTTGGTGTGACTTTCATTAAAATCTTTACAACAACATAGAAGGATATATCTAGTAAACAATTAGACTTTAGTCACAAGTTAAAATATGTTGAAAACATAGTAAATTTTAGTTAAGCAGTGTATAAACTTAGTACGTGTATGGTAATCGAAATCATATCATGTGTTTCACAGTGGTTTTAATATGTTCTGGTGTTGATATTGACCCGTCATGCTGCAAATTTTACAAAATAACAATATATCTCCTTCAGCTTTGATTAGAAGTTTAAGAATTAAGTAATATGTACCTGTTCTGCAACTGTCTTTACTAAAGCCGGAAATGTATCTATATTGATAATGATTCCCAGCAGTGCTGAAGTGTCGCATGTATCATCGAAACCTGTGTACTGTGTCATGCTAGTGGGCATGAACAGTTTTGAAAGGTCGACGTCGCATTTCACATCGTAATTGAAGTTCTTTTCATCTTTTCTTCGACTAACCTTTGGTATTACAGCGTTATTGTTAATAGCCTCATAGTTTAGCTCTTTGTTCGTAGGTTTGTAACGCGCTAGTTGATTGGGATAGTTTTGGTTGTCTATCTGATCAGAGCGTTTCAGTTGAGAATATAGGTTGCTTACTACAGGAGGTATATACTTTCGTAAGACCGGAGAGAGAACACTGTGTAGACAAATACCAACAATGAGCCAGCGCTTTTGATCATCCTCGATATCGGGCTTTACCACTTTAAAATAAGGAAATAGAATGATAGATAGAATGATAGATATGCACACACATCAACACTATTAAGGTTAAATAGTGCGTTTATTTATGCAAAAACGTATATTCGTAAAATAACAATTCAAGATATTGAAAAATAGAATAAAGTAAAGAAGTACTTATCAAGGTGCTACCTCGCATTTATTTGACCTATGATATGTTTAATATTGTTATTTATACAATATAAAATCAATATATTAAAAAATTAAATAAATGAATAAATAAATAGATAAATAAAAAAAAAATCTTTTATACAGTGTATATAAAATTAATTACCCGCCTTGTGAAATTCGAACATTTGTTATGGTTACATTAGACGTAATAAAACACATAAATTATCATGTAAATATGTGCAAGAAGGTGACCATAACAAAAGTACTAGATGCTTGCCTTAAAGGAAGGCAGAGAAACAAGAAAATCGTCTACAAGGACCCGCCAAAGCAAAACAGCAGACAAACAATACAGAACATTAGGCTTTAAGAACTGTCCGTCATAGAGTTTTACGATTTGGTCCATCGGATTCAAGCATAGCGTCCAATTGTAAAGGGAATGAACACCAATTTAGCAAGCGGTATGCCTAAAATAATTGACTCCTTTAAGAAAACCTTTGATAATTTTAATGAAGACAGCAGACAATTCTATGACCCGTTGTCCTAAGAAGTAAAAAAAAACCATCTCCAAAGAAACCAAGCTTGCTATTACATAATCGTAAAAAGTTTTTAAATACAACTTAATATTACAATATCTGAAATACGATAGTAGAACTTCGCAATATATTTACGCAATACTAGTATATGATAGCGACAGCCCTGTTGAAGTAGTTTGTAAGTTACAAAAAATGCGATCATTAAAATCATCTACATGACTGCATGGCCAAGCAGATATAATAAACTTAGAAGAATATATATACCTTTATGATGGTTCATGAGATACATTTCAATCTAAATGTTGAAAGTAAACGGTATTAAGATAGATTTAAGCTACTATTGTATTGCTAATGATAGAAAAATTTAAATCTAAAAGACAATAGAGTTAAATATGATGTAACTTAAGGATCTGACATTTATAAGTAGAGAGAGATAGTTTACATAAGCTGATTAAAAATAACTTAACATTGAAACAACAAGCAATGTAGAAACAAACAAAAAAACTCGTAAAAAATCCACAGATAAAACCGTATGATTTTTTTGCGACAGGTATTGCGATCTGAAGACTGCCAGCACAAACAAAAAATAAAAAAGTTATGTAAACAGTTCTCTTATTATGAACTTACCTTGATTAGGGTCAGCGCCATTAGCAATTTCGACTATTGTTGGTCTTGATTCCAAGTCATGTAATTTTGATGAAATTATAGGCATGCTAATGAAAAATCGACTCATTTTCTGACTTTTATCTCCACTTTATTCCACTTGTGTAAATCTGGATTTGACAGAAATCATAATGTATTACATAGAGCCGATAGACGAGAAACATCATTGTTTAAATTCAATGAACAGAAATCAAATACATTGTCCATGTATAGATTATATTAACGAATTTTTAATCAGGCTTTTTGGTATAAAATGAGTTTAAATGTCTGAAAGAAGTTGCTTTTTGAATTAATCCCAAATTTGTCCCACTTATTCTGTTGAAAGCAAAAGTAAACATATAACACAGGCTTCAATTTTGATTATCAATAACCCAGCTGCTGATGAAAGAAAAAAAGAAATAAACTTATAATACCTTGAAATAGTATCCATTTTTCAAAACTTATTTGTTTTAATAAATATTGTACTGTTTACTCTTTTTATATAAAGCATAAATGCATGATGTCATTTTCGAACTAATCTTACATTGTTAACTTTTGGCACATACCCAAGTAACGTGTATTCTGATACCGTTTTTAAATTCATGCCCAAATGGATGTCAATATATTTAATCACAACAGGTACAGCAAAAAGCGCGTGGTATTGTAGATGTCCAGGAAGGCCTGTTCCTTATTTTAAAGACAAAAGTACGCCATCCGTAATTATACAATGAAATAATTGTTAATCTTAAATTTCTTTCATAACAACATTTCCATTTCATTTAATTAGTGTTGTGTTATTCAATCGGATCACTGAATTGTAGTTAAATGAACATAAAATAGTAAAGGCACAGACTTTCTTTCTAATCAGAATTTCGCCTTCTGATACATGGTGATAAAATATTCTTATCGATACTTCCTGAAATATATATTTGACGAATCAATTCTTGTGTGACTGACACAAACGTGTCTTCTTGTTATAGAAAACATAACAGTTAAGGTAATGATTTGGGTCATTTTCATAGTTCAGTCTCTTTCTATGCCCTCGTAGCTTCATAATATATACACATTGTCATCGATTCAAAATAGAGAAAAACAGAATACCTCAAGAAAGCCCAACACGGCAGAATTGAAATTGTTGCAGATTTTGTATGATCGAGCCTGTTCACACACGGTAGTGGTAATTACAATTTATCGTCTACGCCACCTAGTACCTGCAAATGTAGCTAGAGAGACTTCAGCGAACAGGTTTTATTGTACTGCTAGACCTGTTCGCTGAAGCCAATCCCGTATCGAAAGTCAACCAGAACCGTGACATATTTATGTCATGCTGTAACCCAATAAATATGCGTGATCTGGACAAAAGCTATTTTAATACTGGTAGTTAGATATATTTGGGACACTTAAGTCTACATTTTTGAACAAAGAACGTTAGATTGATGAAATAATGCCTCAAAGTTTATCAGTGGGTTCACATTTAATAAAATTCGCCACCATTGCTGCCCTAATTATCACGTGACTAGCGAGAATTTAGGTTCGGATACCTTTGCATGACATTTGGTGACCGGTGACCCAAATACTATTTTTAATTGAAATCATGGCTTTGCAATTATGAATAACGGTGTATTTATTAAACACATTTATTAAAATACATTTTGGATTTATATTGTTTTGAGTGATGATTCATGAATTATTTGTTTGTTTCTATTTAAAATCGTACACTTACTTAAAATAGTGTATAGTCCGTTACTAAAAATAGATGCTAGAATTCCCAAAACTTGAAGTCCCGCGAGATTTCATTTGAAAGCAGACTCCATATTGATAAACATTTTCTACATATTTCCCTAACAAATGGTTGGGTACACAATGTAATTGAAGTTTCATTTAAAAACAAAACATGAATTGATTCAAAATTGATTTGTTTATGAAATGGTATTTTTATTTTTACCCAAATTTGATTAATAAGGGTGATTTTAACAGGTTTTATGTACGGCACTCGAACTGCCAAATTCTGGTAGCCTTTGCAAATAGGGTTGACCCATAATTTTACTGTCGCACAACGTAAAAATAAAAGTGACATATAAAGTTATGGAAGCCAAAACTAATAACTTAACTGTCGCACAACGTCAAAATAAAAGTGACATATAAAGTTATGGAAGCCAGAACTACTGCAAATGCAGAATTCAACATTTAACATGAGAAGGTAAAAATTTAAAACATCCGCAGACGTGTTCATATGGCGGTTATCATTGAGTCTTCATTGTGCCACGTTAGCGTCCTTGATATCCCATTTACCATTTCCCCCCTCTTTTAGCACTTAAAATCAGGTATGGTTAAGCTGTACAGGCAAGATCAACTGACCCAAATTTCACATGTAGCAATGACTTTAAAGACAAGATATTGGCAAATTGCATAACTGTGACATTTACTCCCCTAGTTATTCCTCTTGTTAGCACTTAACACATTGGACCTTATATAGTTAACCTTCTCAAGCAAGTTTGATATATCTTTTATTCTACCTACATGTACTCAAACTGCTTCAAAATGTACATGTCACTCATGACCTAAGAAGGTGAAATAACTGTGGTTTCCATTTTTTAACATTTAGAAATACGGTATGGTTCAACTATCATGGCAAGATAGATTTATTTTAGTTTAATCTGAACTATTGCCTTCATGCTCCACATACATACTTATTAATGCAACGTAGCGTGGAAAAACCAGTTCTCGAACCTCTATCGATTCAATGAGCCATTTTTATTCAATAAAACAATATTTTTAGAAAAACACATTAAAAACACACCTTTTAACCTTTATTCCACTTTCTATCATATATTTGCTGATATTTTGTTTTTAAAACTAATCCAAATCCTTCCAGAAAAAAACACTACCATTCTTAGCGGCTAAATATCAAACTCCTCGCAGCGGTTACTTCCCCTTATCAGTACAGTAACAAAGCGTGACGTAACCGCTGTGAGGAGTTTGGCTAAATATAGATGACCTAATGGGATGTACTATTCTCCGGTCCGGTCGATTCCGGTCTCCGGTCTCTCCCGGAATTTGACCGGAATTTTCGAGAGACCGGCGAATACTATCATATTTACTAGCCCGGTCAGTGCCGGTCTTCTAAAAATTATCGATCTTTCTAAATGAAAATGTGAAAGAATTTGAAATGTGTATGATTTTAATGCTCTTGTTTGTTTTTTTTTTGTTGTTGTTGTATTGCAAAATATTTCCTTATATGAATAATACATTATCACGTCACATTGCGATTTTTTTATATTTTGAAAATGATTAAATAATGTATTATGTTATATTATGTAATCGCTATTTGCGAAGTTCCCCATCATTAAATATCTTAAGATATCTGTTCATACTTAGTAAAAATATGACACTGATTAAATTACCATGTTGATCATGTTGAGCATAATTATTTTATCATACAGTAATTGTAATATCTGTTTTAATTTGTCTTTTTCTTCATCTTTTATGAAAAATGTTTTCTTTTTTTTTTCGTGTTTTATGTGTATTTTAATACTGAGTTATTACGTTTATTATTTTTTATTATATAAATTTTAAAAATTCAATTGTGATATTGACCGACGATTAACTGGAAAAAGTCGGTAAATTATGATCAATCTTTCAATATATTATATTCAATATTCTTACACCATTAAAAAAAGGCATTTATTTTACTTTAAAAAAAATCACTTAAATAATTCATAAAATCCAATTTGTATCTCTACTAAACGCTAAAAACAAATTAAATAAAATGTTTCAAAGTTGATAGTGTCATATCTATACCATAAAAAGTACATTTTTATTTAATTAATGTATGTATTTATTGATTTATCAGATATAAATAAAATGAAAAGTGCGTTTGTTATTTTTGCAATTGAAAGTTTTGTATAATAATAATTAGATCTATAAAAGATAAATAAATTTGAGAGATGATCTCTGTTAATTTATTATTGTAACCAAACTAATTGAAAACATTCATTTTGGAAAAAACAACTTATTTTTTTGTTACGATTTCAAATAAAATAGCTACTTCAAAACCTGGAGAGACTGCTCAATAAACGTGTGATAATATTCACCGGTCTCTAGTAAATCCCGGTCAAAATAGACCGGGAGAGACCGGGATTTACCGATAGGAGACCGGAGAATAGTACATCCCTGACCTAATTTCGAACCTGTACCATATAGTCCCAAAAACTACAGTTCAGTTTAGTTAATCTGGTCCAAAAATGACAAAATATCAAATATAACTTTAATACATAACAGTAAACAGTTTTTTCCTTATTTTATAATTATTCTTCAGTGTTTTGTTCATGACATTGGCAAATAAAGGTGTCATTTCGTCTATCTATGTGTACAGTTGTATTGAAACAGTACTTCAAATGAACCCAATGGCAACATCCTTCAAAATCACACTGAGCCCATTTTGTGAATACTAAAGACACACAGTTTTGGAGTTCTTTGGGCTGAAACAGGTGGCAAACACAGCATTTTTCATCATCCTCTATTTCATCATCTGATGTAGAATCAGTGTCATAAACCAGGTTAATGTGTAATGGTCCAGGGACTGGTTCATGATGGACACCTCGTTTTTATTTTGATTTTACATTATTCATAATAAATGTTTTACTTGAAATATGTTGGTTATCATTTGATTTCCTTTTTTGAAGATTTCGGGACTTCACTGATAGCTTTGGCTTTACAATTCTCTTCAGTATTTTTTGCTTTCTCTCTTATTTCTTTCTCTATATCTGGATTTGTGATTTCTTTACCAGCTACAATGCTATTTATTGTGTTTTTTTCTTGCTTTGGTTGAACTCTTTTATCTTTTCTATAACTTCCCCTGCCAACTGAAAAAATCAATCTGCATTTGATTTATTTTCATCATTTACTGTTATTTTTCTTTTACATGAGTAGTGTATGGATCTGATGGTGTCAAATGATCTTTACTAATGGCATTACTATCCAATGGAAATATCCCAGTTTTCTTGAAGAATGATTATGCACTATGGTATGATTCTGATGCAAGAGCAGCAACATTAAACCTAGTTATTTTAGTAGAGGGATTCTCTCTAAATACCTGTGACATTTGCCATTGTAAATTTTCTGTT